TGCCCCTGAACCAATATGCCTCAATGAAGAAAGGTTAAACTTCTTAACCGCACTGTTCTTTGCCAGGGCAAGTACAATAGGAGGCACAACCCACAAATGGGTCACCTTATACTTCTCAACAGCCATCAAGATCTTCTGAAGATCAAATCTAGACATGGACACAACAGCGTTGCCCTTTTGCAGCTGTGAATATGTGATAATTGCCAACCCAAACACATGAAACATTGGCAAAACACAAAGAAACACATGGTGCATTTCTCCAGTCATTTCTTGTTCCATTGTGCACATAAGAGATGAGGCAATGAAATTCTTATGTGTCAAAACTACCCCTTTGCTCATGCCTGTTGTACCAGAAGAGTACAAAAGCGCAGCTGTGTCGGTCTGCTTAATATTGGCCAATGGGAAATCTGAGGCAGACCCAGCTGACTCAACCAAATCATGGAAAGTTAGAATCTTTGACCTGGATACAATGTGGGAAGCACCCTGTGACCCCAAAATCACTGCTGGGAGATTGAAATCCTTCACCTTTTCAAACAATTCAGGAACAGTTATGACAAGCTTGGGATTTGAATCTTTCACTTGCTTGGACAACTCTGAGACAGTGTAAAGAGGATTGGAAGTGGTTGCAATGGCACCACTTGCAGTAATACCAAGGAAACAAATGGGGAATTGGATTGAATTCGGAGCAAAAATGAGAACAACATCGTTTTTCTTAATACCCAAATGGAGTAAGCCATGGGAGACCTTGATGACCAAGGACTTGAACTGAGAGAAGGACAAGGTTTCAGAAGACTCGGCATCAATGAGGGCAGGTTTGTTTGAGTAAGAAGAGGAGTTTCTGAAGAGGAAAGAGACCATGGAGAGGTTTGGGTCTCTGGGTAAGACCAGAGGTGGCCTAAGAGACCTGAAAATACCATCACGGCCATACCCAGATTTCTCCATTGAAAACTATGCAAGAGAAATTCAAATGGGCAATTGGGTGTGTGGGTATATCAGTTTTGGATGAGGATTTTTATAGTGGATTTAGTTAAAGATGATGGGAGGCTCTTATTCTTATTATTGATAGCAGAGATTTTGTGGTGCAGCAGAGCACACAAATCAAAGTGTATAGATTTTGGTGATGAGTCTGATGAGGAAAATGGTCGAAATTATGGAACTGTGAATGATTGTTACCTAATTGGTGAGTGAATATCGTTTCCTTCGGTTGGATAAACAAAAGGATTGAAACTTGGAAAGAAACCTAATGGAAATGGATACTTGGTAACAAGACAAAAGAGGAAATGGCGCATGTGTGTCGAGTTAAAGACTCAGTCTTTGATATGATTAAACGGCTAAGATTTCTGCAGATACTCAGTCTTTTTGGCTAAACAACGACAATTGGTTTTGCACGTCATGCATGATCAAGAATTTTTGTTTTTCTTCTTTCTCAGACATGATGAGGTACTGTTTCCCCTTTTTTTCGACTAATTGATGGGAAGGTTAAGGTATGAAAACAGGACAATAGTATGATTGACGATAAAACTAACACTTAAATTAATGGAATGGAGCACCAAAAGTCAACGTCTTTCTTGGTAAACATCAACGTCTGCCAATGAAGAAAGTTTGAATTTCGTGTGCTCCCTTTGTGGAGAAGGTTCTTGTAAACTTCCCTCGAAAAAAATATTTTTTTTTTTTGTCGAAGTTAGGAAGGGGGAGGGGGTTCACATACACACATAGATACTTGGTATAACTTTGAAGGGTTAGTTAAATACTCTGACTTCTTCACTAGTATAAGCGATAGTCTAAATTACAGGGAGAAATGATTTCTCACACATATTACCAATGTGCCATGGGGGTTCGAACTTGAGACCTTTGATCTACAATTCAAGGCTCTTTTTTATTGGACTATCCCCGTTTGTAGTATACATATTTTTAATTTGAACACTTATACACGTAGTTTTCAAATTTGTAACAATATGGTACTATCATTAGGACTCTAAAGTAACGACGTGTCATATGCAGGATCACTTTTTTTTTTTTAACACAAGCGATAATCTAAACTATAAGGGGATGGGGGTCTCACACACACTACTAAGGTGTCATGAAGGTTCGAATCTTGAAACTACTAGTCTGCAAATCAAGACCATTTTCCACAAGGCTAGACCTAATTGGCGATTCAATTTTTTCCTTAGTTAGAAGACACATTACTAAGGTGCCAGAGAGCTTCCATTGAGAGCTTATTTGAGGGGCACCACTTGTAGGGCCCACTCCGGATTGTATTTCACTAATCAAAACTGTCTATTTTGTAGATACTCATTCAAAGATCATCTCTACAAAAAATCACTTGAATTCGATATCATTTGACCATTCAATTGAGTTATTGAAATTTTAATACTTTCTTGAAGCACCGTGTTCATTGATTTTGTAGGACACAATTGGATGTCGAAACAGTTTCCGATTTGTCTAATTTTTTGTAAGGATGATCTATGAATGAAAACCTAAAAAATAGATGGTCCTAAAGGGTATTCCTCAATAAAAGGGGACTGTATATATATATATATATAATTTAAAATTTAAAATTCAGTTTAAAAATAAAAAATAAATTTTTTAAAATTATCACTAACCTCCTTGTTGTGAAAAAATAAAATAAAATAAACGTTAACTACTACGGCACGAAAAAAAGTGCAAAATAATTTGGTAGTTTTTATGTAGTTAGCCCCAAAAAAAAAAAATATGCGTCTCCTTCCCATAACATCTCTTTCACTGTTCAATGAATGAAAAAATATCTAAGCTACTTATAGTCCTACTACCAAAAAAAAAAATCAGCAAGGAAAAGCCTAGAAACAAAACAAATTATCAAATTCGGATCATAAATATGTTATTAAAATTAAAAAGTGACAATTCATAACTTGTTAGGCCATCTTCAGTCATAGGGCTAAATGTAGTCCAGGGCTAAAAATTTAGCCCTCCAAAATGTTAATTTTTTTAATAATAGTGCATGACTAAATTTTTCCATCTCCAGCCATACAGGACTATATTTTAGGGTCCTTTATATTTTATTATTTTGAGAAAAACTATGATACAATACTCATACATTCTGTAACTATATATTGTTTAATTTAATTATAATTTTTTTTAAAACAACACTTGAAAACATTTAAAAAGGTGACCACATGTAAATTATAAAAATTAAAATTAAAAAAAGGATGGATTTCAATGGTCTGACCTCCAACGTCATGACCAAAAATTTTTTTATAATTTTTTTCTTAATTACATGAATTGACATTTAAAAAGGTGACCACATTAAAAAAATTATTAAAAAAAAAGGATTGGTTTTCAATGGTCTGATCTGCAACGTTCATACCAATACTTTTTTATACTTTTTTTTTCTTGAACAACATGAATTGAAAACATTTAAAAGCACATGCATGGGGTCCACATAAAAATTTGGTCTATGCCAAAGCTGGGCTACATGTGGCCCGGTTGGAGGGCTAAAGGGCCAAATGCGGCCATCCAAATTTGGCCAAAATTTTGTTCAGCCCATGGCTGAAGATGAGTTTTGCATTACTTTTTGATTATATTTGAGATATAGCCCATGGTTGGAGATGGCTTTAGGCTATCTCTAGTCATTGATCACAAGCCAAATATAGTCATAAAACTAAATTCCTTATACGGGTGATAACTCTGGAAAAGTAAAAAATCAAAATGGGACCATAGATACTTGGGTAATGGCCTAATAGTAATGGATAATACTCTAAACTACTATTATCGATAAAACATTAATAGTATAGCCGCGCGGCTATACTATTTATTTAAAAAAAATCCCCGTAAAGCCGCGCAGCTATACTATTTTTATAAATAAGAGTATAGCCGAGTGGCTATACGATTTTTAAAAAAAGGGCCCGCCTAGTTTGGTTGCAGATGAAAATATAGCCACTCGGCTATACTAATTTTTTAAGGACAACATAGCCAAATTACAGAAAGAAATTATCGCAACATCTGCTATACTAATTAGAGAAAGGAATTATCGCTTTCGGACAATAGAGCCGCTCGGCTATACTAATTTTTTTCTATTTAAAAACTATAGCCGCGCGGCTAGACCCTTTTGTTTTTTTACAAATTTATAAATAAACCCAATCCTAGACATGTATTTATAAAAAAACCCAAGCACTATTTAAACATAGAAACACACCCAAAATCAACCCCAAAGTCAACTTTTTGGGTGTGTTTATAAATGAGTTTTGAGTGTGTGTAATGATGGGTTTTGAGTGTGTTTATATGTTTAAATAGTGCTTGGGTTTTTTTATAATTTCAACCCCCATTTTGGGTGTTTTAGTGAAACTCCCTTGTTTTTTTTCGTAAAGAACCGTAGTATAGCCGCACGGAGTGTAGAAGAAAACCTCCAAATCAGAAGGCAAACAGACGGCACCTGCCCTCCTCTGCTTTCATTTCTCCCACAAGGTAAATACTCTCTCTCTCCCTCACAGAAAACCTCCATGGCTTATTCTGCTTCAATCACAACCGCCCTATTTCGCTTTTCCCTAATCCGATTCTCTCTAAAACTCTCTCCGTCGTTTCCACACACAACCCCATTTGTTCTCACTAAACCAAAGGTCCAATTCAACCATACACTATATAACCTTCGCGATTTTTCTCTTCGATAATCTCCCAAATTTCTCATTTGATCTTATACTTACTTGTATGTCTCTTACAGGCTCCGAAATACCGGCTCCGCTTGTTTTCAATGGCTTCCGAGCCGAAAGAATCACTCGCCAACAATCCGGGCCTCCACGCCACCCCAGATGAAGCCACTAAGAGTTACTTCATGCAACAAACTGTAAGCATTCACCTTTGTGACAAATATATATTTTATTTTCTGCTATGACATTTGCTCTGCATTTTGATTTTACTTTAGCGATAATTTCTTTCTGTAATTTGGTTGCAGATGTTTCGGATTAAGGACCCTAAAGCCAGTCTTGACTTTTATTCACGTGTGTTGGGCATGTCGTAAGTTTCTTTTAATGGGTTTCGAAAATTCTTCTCTAATTTTCTTTGTTGTTATACTTTCGTGTGGTGTTTGGGTGGAAAATAGTATAGGTGCTCGCTTTGTATTAATTGATATGAACATTTCCTTTATTTAAATCGAGCAAGTTTTTCTTTCCTCAAAAAGTCGAAGGTTTTGGTTCATTAAGATTTTGCATTTTTTGTATGAGTGCGACATTGATTAATATCTGGTGGTTTATAGTTTGGGTGCATTGGCTTTCTCTTTTATTACTAGAACTTCGGAAAAAATGGATAAAAGGAAGAACAGGTGGGCATGTTAAATCCCTACGTGCTTTCTTGGGATTTACCAGTAGACTTATGGTTAGTAATATGTCGGATGTTCATAGGCTCAATTACCAATGGCAGAAGAAAATAGTCACGTGTTTTGTGTTTGTTATATTTTTTAAGTGATGGACTTTAACGAGTCAGTAGATTGTGCTTTTCTTAAGTTATACAATTTTATGACCAGCTCGGAGCACATAGGTGCTAAACGATCCCTGTACAACGAAGGGGGTCCTATATGAGCGTAGAAGTAATTTGTAAATCTGTTTGAGCATATAATAGTCTTGTAGATGCCTCACTTGACATTTAGGGTGTTAGTTCTTATTTCAATTTTGGCCAAGAAGTGTGTGTACCTTTGAGTCTCTGTAACACCATACATGTTTTTCATGCCTGTTTTGCCTTATAACATCTTTCATTAATGTTTTAAAAGATTACCATGTAACTCTTGATGTTGACTTGTGGCACGGTCTCTTTGAATTTATTGGCACACAATATTAGGACTATGCATGCATACTAAGTCAAATTTTGGATCAATTTATGATTCAGTTGGATTGTCTTGTGTTATCATGAGATATATGCTTCTGCAGTAAATATAGCATGCAGTTAGATTGTTTTGCATATTAGTGTGCATGTGCACATGCATGCATGCACTTTACAATGGCTAAGAGATTCTGTGAGTAGAGATCTTGTCCAAAAATGACTGTTTGAGTGAAGTTGATGGTGATTTCTTCTATTTTTTCAGGCTGCTTAAGAGGCTGGACTTTCCAGAAATGAAGTTTAGTTTGTACTTTTTGGGCTATGAGGTAAAATTCGTAATATCCTTTCTACAATAACAAAATTTTTACCAAGTTCATTGTTTGATTTTACAGTCATGGTTGGGATTATGTTTCTAAAAATTTCCCTGTTAACAGAGACATTTATTTCTATTTATCTTTTACTGAATAGGATCCTACATCAGCTCCAACTAACCCGGCTGATAGAACAGTTTGGACCTTTGGCCAGAAGGCTACAATTGAGTTAACACAGTGAGTTTCTTTTAATTCACCTACATGCTCTTCTCTTTTTCTTTTTTTGGTACATGTTCTGTCCAATGTGATATCTGACAATCGCTTACCTTTTACAGTAATTGGGGTACTGAAAGTGATCCAGAATTCAAAGGATATCACAATGGGAATTCGGAACCTCGAGGCTTTGGTATGTAAGTTGTCCTATGAATATGTCAAAACATACGGCGTTTTTTGATGCATTTGTTTCTTCCTTTACTTAAGAGTTTGATTTACTAGACCATTTGATGCCAAATGCCACATATGATGTCTTGTCTTCTTATGTGGCAAGTATGGATGGTTCCAAGAAAGTCAGTATTATTGATTGACTTTGATTGAATAATTTGTTTTGACTTGTCCTGAACGATAAATTTTGAAACACTCCAAATGCTTACTTCGATAAGAAAAAAAAGGCTACATTTCTTTCAAGCATAAACAAAATTTTATGGAAGAGTGTATTCATTGTATTGCATTTAGTGTGTATCATTATACGTATAGTGTTGGTACACTATAGCCTATTTAGGTAAAAGATTTCTATGATATTATTATACAAAAGATATGGGGGCTTCCACTCCTTAACTGACCGAACTTTTAGGTATGGTTGATTCACTTACAGGAATCTGTACTTTCAATACCATTTTAAAGTAACAAGACAGCATAACCAACCAATGCAAATCGTACGGGATGGTATTCATGTGCATTGGGGGGGGGGGGGTGGAAATGATTTAAATACTTAAAAAAAATCATGTGTTTCTGCAAATGTCAATGTCCCTGTAGCTTTGCTTGATGGCTAATGCATCTGTAACGATTAAGCATGTACATGTCTTAGTTTATACCTAGCGATTCCCCTAACCTCTAATTTTGTTACTCAGGACACATTGGTGTCACAGTTGATGATACTTACAAGGCATGTGAGAGATTTGAACGTCTCGGGGTGGAGTTTGTGAAAAAGCCAGATGACGGTAAGAACATCCATATTGTTGAACCTATTGTGATTTACGAGATGTCTCGTCATTGAACGTTGGCATATATAATGGGGATTGATTGGGACATATTTGATTCGTTTTTGTATAAGTAGAGTGATAAATCTCAATATCAGTCTGTAGGATTGATGCTGTTGTATAAATAGGCTATTTATAAGTGATGGAAGATGGTTTCAATTAAACAATAGACAGTGAATTTCCCTGAATTAGCAGCGCCATTACTTTTAAACAATATGCTATCTTCATTAGTTAACCAAAAGTACCCTGTCCAATCGGGATATCTAAGCAGTTAATGAGGTCTGCTGGTGTGTGAATGTGGTCTGATGGCCTATACTCAGATTGTGAAAAATTACTATTGATGATTGACATTTTGAACTGTTTTTGACATTATTCTCTGTCTCTAATGCCAACTAGGACATTGCAAAAACATCCTTCAACAAATTAATATTTTTTCCTGATACTGAAGTCACTGTCATGCGCAATTGATAGCCTTGTTCTTGGTTTTTGTAGTTTGATGGATTTTTATTCCAGCTCCTTGTGCCCATTTAGCAAGCTTAGTAACAGCACCTTGGTCTCTATAATTATAATCTTTCGCTCTCTGTTCTGGCTTCCAAAGAATAAGCTGGATTTTTGCTGTTGTTGAGGTTTCCATGGACACTAGTAAACAATATGGTTTTATGCTTGTATGTGTATATTTAGGCGTGTGCTCATATATGCTCATATGGAACACTTTGGTTGTATGCATGTATGTGTTTCTTTAGGTGTGTGCTTATATATGCTCATATGGAACACTATGGTTGTATACATGTATGTGTATATTTAGTTGTGCTCATTATGCACCAGCATTATCTTTTAGTTCAATCTTGCTCTCCCAAACTGTGGTGAAGATAAGGAATGAGCAAATTCATGTGTGTTTTATTTCTTGGGGAGGATCATGGATGACCAAGACCAGTATTTTTTATTCTCACTGTGGGAGTTCGTTTTCCTCTAATTCGCAATTTTACCTCCTTTTATTTAAAGAATAAATAATTGTGAAAAGTTAGTTTTAGTTTGGTTTCAGTATTTACCGATTCTCGGTTCCTTAATTTTGTGATGTTGATTGCAGGAAAGATGAAAGGGATAGCATTCATTAAGGATCCTGATGGTTATTGGGTTGAAATCTTTGACCTTAAAACGATAGGAAGCATTACAGGTGGTGCTTCGTGAGGTCATGGCACCCTTTCTTCAGGTTAGTTCTCAGTTTTCTTATGCTTGTTGTCAATTGATTGTGACAATACTGTTATCTAACACTTGGTTTGATTGCCTTCCACATGATGTGTATCGCAAGCTTAATCAGTTATTAATTAGTTGCTCTACCTTGTGTTTTCCAGTCATCAATCAGTTACATTTGTAACTACTCTCTTGGTGCTGCTTTTTGTTTATTCTGATTTTGGTCTTTTTTCATTCGTATTAGCCCCTTGCATTTCTTGTATTGATGCTGAAGGTTATAGACTTCCGTAGTTGTAATCAGAATTTGAATGGATTAGATATCGTGCAGGTGAACCATGGTGACAACTTACAGTCGGACATCATTTCTGGTTTTCCTATTTGTCCATGGTTCAGATACGAGTCTCGTAAATGGACCTGTTTGGCGATTTTCTTACGTATTTTATTTTTCACTTGCCTCTGGTGTGTGTTCGTGTAGTTTTGTATTCTGTAAGTTGGTACTTAGTACGAGTTACTTCTGTCTGTAAGTACAAAATTGGTCTTTCTGATCACAATGTGGTGTTCAAACTTTCTCATTTTTGCAAGTCTTGGATCTCCAAAGCCATCCATACTAATCATTACTAAAGCAATCAAATATGTAATTTTTTGACCGATACATTTGTTTTTATGGGTACAAATTCTAACTAAACATAGGGAATGAACTCGCAGTATAAATGAAATGTACTCTCATCATAATAACATTTCCCAGTAATTATAAAATTGCTTGCTTTTGGTGAAACTAGCAGTTGGAATTTCAGTAGCTTTAGTTGAAAAGTGACCCAGTAGTTATTTAGATGCAGCCACCGTAGGGGCACACGCTGTATTGGGCCTTTATTTTAATTTTATGAGAATTCGCTGGTATGCAATGCAACAAAGAAATTAGCCATATAGTAGTAGACAGTGGGAATTGCAAGTTTGGTTGTGCCACTAGCCAAATAGCTTATGGAACCATAATCATAATGGACAAAAGCTCCACTATATGTTTTAGTACATCGAGTACAAAGATAAATGTTTTTAACCAATTGAACTACTTTTTTTTTTTTGGTTAGAAATCAATTGAGCTACTTAACTTGTACTCTTTTCGTCCATGTTATAACTTGTACTCTTTTTGCCCATGTTATTATTTTCTTATTTTATTTGATGACCAATTATCTTCCCAGAAGCCGTAGAAAAGGACATATATTAAGTTTTAAAACATAAAGTGAAGTGAAGTGTGACAGAAACGGGTGATGGTTGGGCAGGCTATTTTTTTCTATATAAAGTGAAGTGTTTAGGTTTCTGATTTTTATCTCAACGAAAAGTGAAGCATTCAAGTAGAGAGGGATTGCGGATATTGTATAAACAATGGTCCCGAATGATCAGAGGCTGATCCCCAAACGACTCAGTTGTCACTCTTGATTTTGAGGTAGTTTATTGTGAAATATCTTTGTTTGTGTATTTCTAAAATGTTATATATAGAAAGGCATTGCGGATATAATTTTTAAAAAAAAAATCAAATTACTTTCAAGAAGGAAATTATCGTACTGCCGGTTGGAAATGTGAATTATATACCCTAGTTCCTTCACTTTCAAGAAGGAAATTATCCTACAATTGTTGAACTTTAGCAAGTTATCCAATTCAATCCAAAACACTAAATGTGACATTAAAGGAAAACTTCATGAAGCGCTCTCGGTGCCCTGAATCATTGCAACTCTATCAAAAGTCAAGGTACCGTTTTCTTACATAGTAAATATATTGGATTTGCTTGATGCAAAACAAGTAAAAACAGACGGATATGTTATATAGAAACAATAGGATGAAAGTGATAAAAGCATCTCTAACAATCTCTTCAATAGTTTTGGAATGTTAAAATAGGTGAGTTTCAAAAGCAAAGTTCTCTCTAATAGACTTGTCAAACTCAGTTACCAAAGTTGCAACTTATTTCTCTCTCTTCAGAATTAACAAGTTGATCGTGGCTCTTGTAACCATTTATTTTATTTTAGAAGAACAAAACCTGCATTGAAAATGCTAAAAACATGCTCTCTTTTTCCCCCCTTCGGATAACAAATACAGACTTTCTTCACCTGTTTTCAGAGAAACTTACATTAACAATGCTAAAGTAATAAACACAGTATTAATTGAGCTGAAAAGTCTGTTGGGGCACAACTGTTATGATGATATTTAAGGGTTTATCCTTTGTGATAAAAGCAAATTGTTTTCGAATAAGTATGAATTAATCTTTATCCCAACGGCTATGATGATATTTAAGGGTTTATCCTTAGAGTAGGTATGTTTGTACTCAAAGATCAACTTTTACAGCTTCTTTGGAAAAATGTGACACAAATACCTAAAGTCGAAGACCACCTAAAATCAACAAGGTCACGGACAATGGTCAAGCAAATTCCACCCATTGGACAATTACATTATAAATAACAAGAAAATATCTGTATTGTGTTGGGCTCTTTCTAATTATATTATACTTGCTGCAACCTATTGTGTACAAACTTCAAAGCCCTATCTGTTAAAACCTCAGTTTGTTGACAACAGATCATCCTCTAAATAATTAAACACAAGTTTTTTAATTTTTTTAAAAAAAAGTTTGAACTTAAAATATTTGGATGTCAGACTGTCAGTAGGTTCCACACCTTTTGACCTTTACACTTCACTAGAAAAGACATTCCTAGAAAACCTTTTCCCTCATTATTTTTAAAATAAAATCAAGTTGGAAAATTATTATTTAAAAAAATTATAAAAAACACCCTAACGATGTGTTTGGATGGGGAAATAAACTTAGGATTTTGACATAAATCAGAATTTCTAAATTGACATGAAACAATTCCCGTGTTTTGATAATATAAAAAATATAAAAACTTAGAAATTCTGTTGGAATAAAATATGGAATTTGGAAATCATAAATTTCAACTTTAAATTTTATATAAAAGTCATTATTTCTAAAATTTCAAAAGAGATTGAGAGTTTTTAAAAAGATAACTTTACAAATAAAAGTTAAATTCCGTGTTTTAAATCCATCACCCAAAAAAGGAACTTTACAAATTCAAAAACATTAATTTCCGTCATTTATGAAATCCTTTGTATTTTTAAATTTTCTCATACAAACACACTGTAACTAGCAAATTGAACCACAATTATTTAATTTAAAACTGAAGTAGTTGCAGATTTCCAAATAATGTAGTTTCTAAGTGGTGAGATTTTGTTGGATTGTTAATATTTTACTGGAAAAAAAAATTGACAAAATGGTTGAATATATAATTAAAATGAAACAAAATTTCAAGGATGCAGAGACAAATTGGCCACACGTCAACTGCCCCCACTCTAATAAAAATCTGGGCATATGCACTGACAGAGATATTGTGCAGCATATCATGTAATTTTGGAGGTGCTTTGGACTGCTTCCCGATAGGGATTCCCTGTCACTTCAATAAAATACATTGTCTACATAACTGTGTTGCTGGCTACGATTTTGTTTCTCCACCATACAATCACTACAATTTTCATTATCATAAAAAATATTTTGATTTTCAACCGTGAGTTTCTGCATTTTGGATACAGAATTTCGAATGTAGAGATAAATATTTTTAATTGTTTGAGTCAGACACTCTTTATAACGTATGATGTTTCTAACGGATGTTTCTAAGGGTTAAGGGGTTTGAATTCACTATTGGTGGTGTCACATTATCAAGGCAACTACTTCATTACATTGGCTGAGTAAAGGTGACTTGCTTATGTTTTGTTTGCTACCGTTGGATAAACATGCCATAAATGCATACTTGCTCGTAGATTCATATCATATTCATATGCATATTCGCGTCCAGTTTGACGACATAATTCAAATGCGACTCATCAACATGATTTGTCACCTCTAATTTCAATTCCATTCTCTTACAAGAAATTAACCTCAACTTATATGGTCTGTAGTGAGTTGATGGAAGTGTGGACGTCCTTGAAATGTGTTGCCCTTGAACATAAGCATAATATGGATTATGAAAGAGAATTAACAATAATGCAAGAGATTTGTAGCTTAAATAGGTTTAAAACATTTACGACTTATGCAACAGAAGTCCTAAGTTCAATTTTCACCTCTCTCAATATCACTTATATATAAAATAATAATAATAATATGAATTTCTAAAAGAAAAATAACGTGATTGATTATTTTCGAATTTAGCGTAAGATTTGAGGATTAAAGATTTAATTATTTAATTATTTCAATGGAAAGAAAGGAAAAAAAACAATTTTATTTCAATGAACCTCATGAACAAATATTGCCTCCCCAAATGAGTAGTCTAATCAAATAATTATACTGTTCCTGCAGGCACCCCCCTTGTTATCATCATGGCATGCCATTGCCCGCCTCACCGATTTAATTAAATTTGCATTTTTCTTTTCAACGTTTTGTATACAGACAATCGGTTGTGCACTGATCAACACATAATAATTTTTATAAATAAATACTTCCATGGCCTTTGGGTTTCTAACTATCTTGCTAAATTTAATATGAGACCTGTCGTGTATCGAGAGTGTACTGAGATCATGTATTAAAAATGAAAACCTATATTTTAAAGTTGAAGCCTTTGCAAGACTCCAAAATTTCCAGCATTATGTTTTTGTCTTTCATTTTCTGGTAAGCAAGTTCCCATCTTGAGTCTGACCTGCTTCATTTATATATAAAAGATTCCGACTGATTAACCTTACTACCAAGCAACAGTAATGCACATACTCCAAATACCAAAATTACCCCTTATTGCATTTGAATCTCACATTACGCTCTCGAACCTATAGTATATAACTCATCTTGACCGATGTTTGGCGACTTAATTTTCTCCCACTGTCGAATCTCTTAAAAACTTTGGTAAACCACTCCTACATGGCATAAAATTAGAGGCCACGTCAAGAACAAGTATCCAATGTCGACTTGATGAAAGACTAAAGAGGGTAAGTGCGACGCAAAATGTTACTCAATAGAGTAAAGTGGGTCATCTTGACTTTCGAAGACGAATGATTTGACTAGTAGTTTCAAGGATGGTAAGCATGTGAAAAACTAGTGGCAAGTAGGGTAGTTTTGTCATTTAAAGTAGGCGTACTAGACCTATTGGCTTTAGGGTACCGCTAACCAATTATAAAAATGGAAACTATTAAAATATTAACAAAGCAAACGTTGCATGCTTGGTTTATTTTTACATAAAGATTCTTGTTCTTATCTTGATGAGAACAAGTTCCCTCTAGTTTTCATTACACTTAAAAAATAAAAAATAAACTTTCAGAAATGAAGTTGCAAGTGAAGGACCGTACAACAACAACATAACATCATCACCACCACCATCATCATCATCATCATCAATCACCTCCCAAAAAGAAATGCACAAAATTAAAAGAGGCTTTTACCATGTACTGTCAAAAAAAGAAATGTTTCATTTCAGATATCATCAGAAGTAGTACTTTTTCAAAGTTCAGAACACATATAGACCAGACCCCTAGGAAAGAAACTGAGTCAATCTTTCTTTCTTTTCTTTTTTTTTCTTTTTTTTTTCTTTCTGAATCTCCC